GAGAGAATGCGAGGGGTAAGGGAAGGGGGTAGAGATTAGAGAGCCAGCGGTGCTCGGTGCTCCACACGTCGTTAACAACTTATTTACTCATTTATCATTCTGCGGCCACAATAAACAACCAGGCAGAAAGCCCCCCCTGGAGCCGTGGCCTTTCTTAACGGTCAGGGGGTAGGAGGGGTGGGGGGAGGGGGGGCGCTCCACCGCCACCGCTATATACCTCCTTCTGCGACCAGCCAGAGCGGGAGAAGGGCGGGTACCTCCGCGTTGGTTTACTGGACAGGGGACAGATGGACATGCATTTACCGCCCGGCATCCACTCATTTGTCGTGGCGGGTCCCCAGCCGGGGACGACCGAGGCAGGTCAGCACGAGCACCATAGCCCAGCCCACACAGGCTGGTGTTCACGACGGGTCGCGAGGCAGGCTCAAGCCCCGCGGATAAATCGGCCTTCGACCGCCCCTCTACCCCCCTCCACCCCCTCAACTTGATCGACGACGTAGTACCCGCTGCCACCCGCTTATTGTCTACCCCCTCCCCCCAGCAACCTATCCACACGCCCTTCCAAATGAAACCCGGAAGCAGCGCGCGCGACATTCTGCCCCACAGACCGCGGAATAGAAAGACTAAATCAGACAAAAACAATAATTGTCAGTTGCTTTCGAAATAAAGACCCCATCCCATCCCCATTCCCATCACCACATCTGTCTCGATCACTTAACCTCACAGGGAAATAATTGTGCACATGGATCAGTGGCATTCACCAAAACAGCTTTGTTTGGTTACAAGTACAGAGTTACTGTGGCGTGTATAACTTTGTATGTCCTTCCGCTACATGGAGTCGAAAAGCGTTTTCCGCGTTGTCCCCCGCAAATCTTTCCCGGCGCCGCTTTCCCTTCAGCGGCGGCGTGCGGCGCGTGGCTTTGGCGTGGCGCCGCGCGCGGTCTCCTCCACCGCACAAGGTAAATGTTTAGCGAAGTTGTTGTGTTGTGTTGCTTTGCAAACTTGTATATTTTGACAAGCCCGGGCTGCTCCGCGCGCATGAACTCCTCTTCTTCCTGCGGGGGCCGGGCAAGCTATCCGCGCACAAACAAGTTTATTGAAAAGGGTTCCGCACCACGTTAAAAACTAATAATTTAAAAGAAGCCAAACTAAAAGTCGTTAGTTGTTTTATACAACAATAAAAGACAAGAGCGTCTGCCAGAACAACATTTCTAAAACTACTCTAAGTCAGATCTGGAAGTGTCTGCCTATTGATACATCTTCTTAACCACCTTTAGCAACAGGGGTCATTTTAGCCTGCTGTGACCAAATTCATCACTTTTATTTAAAAAGTTCACGTTACGCGTCCCTGCGATTTCTGTGAGTTTTTTTAACGGTGATAATAGCAGTAGTTTAAAGTAACGACTTTACTTCGAATGACTTGAATGTGTAGACGTACGGATCGAATGCTTCCCTACGTCGTGGTGGGGATGCCGGCGGCAATGCCGTCCGAGACAGGACGGCGGGAACGGCCCGCCCCGCCCGCGGCTGCGACTTACGACAAAACGGCGCGGCGCGGAAGGGCGAGAGTGGGTGAGGGAGGGCGCTGTGCAGAGCCGAATGCAGCCAGCCAGCCGCCGTCAGCCGTGCCGAGGCCAGCAGAACCAGCGCGCCCCGCCCGAGATAGTCCCGGCGCAACTTGGACACGAGCGTCGGGGGTTGGAGAGGAGGGGAGGTTAGAGCATGGGCGGGGGCATTAGTTTCCGTCGAGAAATAACTAAGACAGGGCCAGGGCGAGCCACGAAGGGAGCGAGTCAGGCCGGCTGAGGGGGAGTGGGTTGGGCTGGGCAGCCACCCAGTCTAAGGGGGTCCAATCGTGCTTCGGTCGACCTCAGCAGCCAGCAGCTTGCGCTGCGTGCAGTGTGAAAAATATACCTTCGTCAAATTTAACTCGCTTTTGGTGTGATTTTAAAATTGAAATTATTAGTACACTTACAACGCCGATGAAAATTACGAATGCGGTCGTCGACTTATTGAGGGCAGTTTTCGTTTAAAAAAAAACAAAGCAGTATTTTAACAATGTTGATTTATTTTGAATGGCACTGTATTTGAATTCGTATAGACTTGAGATCGCTAATGTGTACGATTTAAAATCGTAACTCTACAACATAAATTGTGGAGTTTTCGTAAATGGGAGACTTTTCCCCTCGGTGGTATGAAGGGGGAGAAACGGGGACGTTATTTCCTTCTCATACCAATTACAGTTCCGGCCAGAACAGTCGACGATAACCCCCCATGCCATCACTGCTGATTATGACCAACCCCACTCGTGACTCGACGCAAATGAGGCAATGCAGCTCGCAATGCACCGGGCATAGACGAGGCGCCTATGCGCCACGCACGCCGCCGCGCTCATGGCCACGCACCGCGATGCGGCCACGACTTCCGGTCAGTTGGAGCGGCAGCGCTCCGCGCTAGAGTTATTGGAACAGGGGGGTGCGAGTGTGGCAGTGTTCCCCACCCGCAGCTCTCTGCTATCACGCTCTGCCGCCCCCAGAGCACCGATGGATGGGGCATACAGCACTGAAAACTCGGCGTGCCACGGCCGCTAGCCATGATGGAACATGGCCAAAGCCTTTGCCACGGGGCATGGCCAGACTGTTGGCCAATACTAGTGAGTATTGCCCGTGGCTCAGTGCCCCCCCCCCCCTCTAGGCATAGTAGCAGTGGTGATGGCCATAGTCACCTTTCAACTTCAACGAGGGTTGTAACGACTGGTATTGCTCCTTGGGTATTTAGCGTGCATGTGGCTACATTCTCCCAGCAAATAAAAACAACGCATTCAAAATCAGCACAACAAAAATATAGTATATCCGAAGCAGGAGAAAGAACACAACACACCAGGCCTGTAAGTCCCCCGAGGCGACCGGAGCGCAGAGGGCTGAAATAAGGAGTACAGCGGCAGCAGCTGGCCGTAGCGTGGGTACCGAGTTTGTTTACGAAGGGCTCGCGGGCAGGCGAGCCGGGCCGGGCCGGCAGCTCTCCGACAAGCAAAACTAACTCCATTACACACAGTGCAACCTTTGCATCCATTTTCATTCCGTGCGACGCCACGCCCGCGCCCCGGCTGACGCGCCCGCCGACGCCGCCCACTTCACTCCGCTTCCCTTCCACAATCTGCCCCAACTTTGTATACCGTCCTGCAGCGGAATCCAAGAAGGGCTTCCTTCCGCAAGGCTAATTTTACACGAATTTATGGACTGCGAAGAGCAATCTCAATAGGTCCGGGCAAAAGAGAAAATAAGAATAAAATAAAACTCTCTCCGGCAGGCGGGCGGCGGGCGCGCAACGCTTTTCTGAGATGGAAGCTACAACAACCAAGGTAAAGTGAAAACTAATAACTCGTTTCCTATCTTATCTTTCGGTTTTATACAAAACGATACAGAACGAAATACTCTCGCCAAAGAAAGAAAAGCACGTGGGAGAGAATACGCGGAGAGTCGTGTTCAGAATCATCTCATCAGCAGGGTGCGGAAATAAGGTTCCCGCCCGCGGTTGCGGTAAGTGGCGAAAATTAATCGAGGTAGGAAGAAGAGGGGAAGCGTGGGCGGCTCGGTGGGCGGTGAGAGAAAGAGAGGGGGGAGCGGTCAACACTACACCACTCAGAGCAACCCCGTCCTCTCTCATCTCCCCCTTTCTGGCACTTGTTGCCGCTTCAGAGACAAGAGAGAGGGCGAAAATGAAGAGAGGGAGACAGTAAAAGGGGCAGGGATGAAAAATTGACATACGAGAGGAGAAAAACAAAGAATAAAAGCCGGGGCCTGGTGCAGTAATATTTTGACAGCAGAGGGCATAGGGTTAAATTAGACAAAAATGACTTTACCTGCGTGTCAAAGCCAGCGATGTACTCTGGGCAGGGCTGTGCGGCAGTCGAACCGGCCGGGGTCGCGTTCCAGCACACGAGGCCGTCCCAGGCCATGGGGCACCAGCCCAGCGCTGGAAGCAAAGTCAGACAATCGGGTGAAATAGCACAACAACAACAACAACTTGAAGCCGGCAGGGCATTGCAATGCAGGGCATGAGAAACTGTGTCAATTGCAAACACAAACCACATGCTTTCGTGATTTGTCACAAACTCTGTACTGTGTAGTTTGACAGAGTAAAGGTGATTCCACCAGGCGCTTATTAGCGCGGCGTGGGCGTTGCCGCAGACAGAAAGCAGACGGCTGGAACGAATGAACACGCGGCGAGCGACATTTCGGAGTGGAAGCGAAAAATGTATTAATATAGAGGGTGTAAAAAAAAACAATCTGCGACGAGTCTGCGCCCCAACGCGCTATGGGGGCGCGGCTGTCCCGGGGCTGTCCCGCGGCTGTCAGGCCTCGTGCCGTTCTTGGCAGGTTGCTTTTTGTACCCCCCCCCCTCCGCAAACGCAAAACGGGTAGACAGCGGCGGGACAGACGAGGCACGTCATTTTCACGCTACGCGAAGAGAGAGGAGAAAGTGACAGTCCAGTGGTGTAGCACACCCGCACATCAGAGTGTTCACTCTAAATGGAAAGTGACAGTACTGTTCCTAAAAAGGTAGTGTTTCACCGCACATCCGGATCACGAAAACGTAGTTGCCCTTTTGGGGACTAAATTATCCCCTAACGTGTATGAAATAATGAGGGCAATTTAAAATATTTTCATGAGAAATGTGCTAAAGTTTACCCGTTGAAATGGTCACCACACAAAAATTTGGAGAAACTGTGCGTTGACTTCATAGCCGAACAAAACTTTGAGCCGTCGTTATTTTGGACGTCAATTTTAAATTCACCCCTTTTTGGTAATCGTTTATTTGTATCAGAAATAACAGTCGTAATTTTGGAAGATATTCATTTACAGTCTGTGATAGGGGAGGGAGAGAAAGGCGTCACCAGCTCTCAGCTCATACAGACCCCGGCTACGCCACCACTGCGCCGCGGCCCGAAGTTTCTCCATACCGCCCGGGCCGGCGCCCCGACTGGCGGCCGCAAAGACGTTTTGAATTTTGTTCATTACCGAAGTGGGTCGCTCTGCTCCGCTCTGCTCCGCTGTGCTGGGCGGCGCCCGGCGCCAGCGCGGCTAGGTAAGGGTGACGCCGAGGGTGGGGAGGACGAGGGTGAGGAGAGATTAGTATCTCACCCTCTCCTCCTCTTCCTTTTTTCCCGGAAAAAGAAGTTGGCTGTCAAGGAGGG